CTATGTTACTGCTGTATTTATCAACAAGAAAAATACTATATAAAAGAATTTCCTTAAAAAGCATAAGACTTCACTGTTATTAATCAGAATTAAATTTTTTGTCATCAACAGAACTGCTTATGAGAAAAACAAACAATCAAACAAGCTGACAACAAACTAACAACCAACAAATCAAACTAAAAAAACAACAAAATTCATGCGAGGTTTGGGCATAAGAAAAGTTACACAGGGTCAATCATTCTTGTTTCCTAGCAAAGAGCAGATTGCAGACTCTTAGAAATTAACCCACAACAAGGTTTCGAATTTTAAAGTGATTCTTAAGAGAATGAGTCAACTTCTTCTCATTGACATTCATCTCCGTGCAAAAGGGAGCAATGTCATTTGAACACTTCTACATGATAGCTCTGTAAAACTCGCTGCCTGCAGCACAATAAATACGATCTCAAAACTGCATGAGCTAAAAGATTTTCATGAGTCTTAAAAATGCTTGCAATGAAACTAGCTAGATGCCTTTCAATTTACACAATTCATTGGTTGAGAAAGAAGCATACTGCTACTTCTCTGAAGACCTCATTTTCTGCCTCTTTCATCAAAATATATCCTTAACCAAGTCGTGTTATTTGAAAAGCAACAATCAACACCACAACTTGCCTTCTTAAATACTTTTACTGTAAATTAACTAAGATCCAAGAATAATCATGTGAGGTTGCAAATCATAGACATGGCAAAAATAAGAAAGTTTTAACAGGGGGCCAGTACTTTTTTGGTTGGTTCAGATTACACTGGGGCCAAACCCACTTCCTAATTTCAAATGAAAAAAAAACTGAACCTTAGTAAAGAAACTCACTGAAACATTCTTGGTTGCCCTTTTTAGTCTCCGCCCAGATTAATTACAACTGAATACCTTAAAGTTTACTTTCATTAACTGTAAATAATTCTTTATCATAAATAATAGTTGGTGCTTCTGCCAGTATTTTTTTCCATTTATGCTATAGAGTCTGAAGTCTAACAGGCTCAGTTTTGTTCAACTAGTCTTTATCATTCTTGGAATTAATTGAAGAGTTTCAGATGAGATAAAACCACAAACAAGCTGTAACAAGAGACTAAAACTAATTAAAAAATTAAGAAATACTTAAAAGAAATAACACGGATCTAAGTCTCAGAAATGGTGCAACAATCCTCTATGTTTACAAAGGTGTTTGCCAACAACTGGAAAAATGGCTAAAATAATAAATTTAATCCCTGCTCCTTGTATTTATCTGCTGTTTGATAAAAACACTATTTTACCTCTCAGTTCAATATCATCACATATTTGTCACTCAAAATTTTGTGTCTTTTTTGGTAAAAACGTTTTGTAAGAACAGAACTTAAAATAAACTTGAAGAATTCACAAATTTTTGCTTTAAAATTAATTTGTACACGCCATATCTTCAATAACAGAGCTTTAAGTTACATTAAAAAAAACTTGGGACATCTTGCATCCCATCATTACTATAGAGTCTTAATTTACTAGTCTTATTGTCACACAACCTCTGCTAGCTTTGCCTTTCCTTCAACTATTTTCCATAGCTGTCCTTCTTCACTGTCGTCATCCTCATCACCTTCGGCAACCACACCCAGATTCTCAAGGGTCTCGACTGCATAGGACTGCCTTGCTTTCATGGTAGCCTCTATTTTTTGCCAGAGCACCTCCTCATCCTCCACACCATTTAAATCTTTACTTAAAGATCCTGAATTACTTGAAGTAATTTCTTGTCTGGTTTCAGGAACATGCCTCTTGTAGACACGAAAAAAAAGAGAAAAAAATCTACTCAGTCTAAAGCAAACTTACTAATTCAAGCTCAAGTTCAATCTTGGAGTACACTGCACTACTCTATCATGTAAACAGGCAGGGATATTATTTTAAGATATCCAAACGAATTCTCTTGATTAGCAAACAAATGATTTGGTACAAAGCTAAGAGAAATATATATACTTTTCAGAACTTGGAAGTTTGAGGACTTCTTTTAAATATGATAGCAACCCTGTGCAATAAAATTTTACATGCTTCATCTTTCTAAAAAAATTAGAGAAAAATATACGCCAAAACAGCTTACCAACTGCTAATTCATGCCTTGACAGGTAATGAAATAAAATAAAATTTTTTGCACAAATATAAAGTATGCTGGGTGATATGATTAACAAATTAACAAATATATAATTTATTTCAAGAATTGTGCATTCCAAGTATGCTATCCAGAATTTTTGTTAAATTTAAAACTTAATTGTTACAAGGACACCCAACTTACCACAGTGTTTTCTGTGTTGTGTAGTTCATCATTTTCAGACACTTGTTGTGTCCCATTGATTGTACATTCCTGTATTGTTGATGACCCATCATTAATTTGATTTGAAATGTTCTCTTTTTCATGCTCATTACTTGTCACTCTATTTGTAGTTATTGCATACGTAGTCTCATGTTCCACTATTATCAAAGGAAGTGTAGACGACACATGCTCCTCGTTATCATCATCATTTGTTAATACACTATGCAAATCATCTGAACCAGAAGCATGGACTCCATTGACATGAACAGGCTGAAAAGTTGATTCAGCTGAGGAGTTGCCTGATGTATCCATTGATGTATTGTCTGATGTAACATTCACTGTTCCTACAGTATCCAACTCATTATTGCCCTCTTGTGATGGTTCTTCAGCACTGTTAACCAACGAGAAAGAATTGTTTTCCATCTGACTGGGCATTGCACTTTGACTTTTGACTTTCTGGAGGATTTCATTAACTTTTCTTTTAGTATCTTCTGGATCTACTGCCTCTTGCTAAAATTCAATGACAAAAATTGGGGTGAGAATTGAAGTAAAGTTACAGTGATCAAAATACTAACATTCAAACAAAATTAGAAAGTGTGAGAGCTTTTGTTATGGAGATTACACAAGTGTATGGTTAGGGCAAAAAAAGTCTTTCAAGTTAAGAATTCCTTTTAGTGTAGCTCCTTGTTGTTTAAACTGCTTACCAAGATCACATATGGCCAAATTGCTGTTTAAAGATTCAAAATGGTGTTCTTTGAAGTTGAAGTTTTTGCAAATTCAAAGCTACATGTAATTTTTAAAAGGGCTAATTTACCCTTTGGAATCTCAAAACACAGCCAGTGTTATACTTCTGTTTACTATATACATTATTTTTCAGTGGCAGAGACAAAAATCTCTTGAGATTAGTACTCCTTCAAAAACAAAACTTCCCAACAGGGTGTGAAATTAATTTTTTTTTCTGATAGCCACTTGGCTCCTAAATTCTTTAAAGTGGTAGCCAATTAAAAAAAAGTTGGTCGCCATTTTCAAAGATAAACAAAACCCTCCAAAATTAAGTTAGGGACAAGATCTTTAATGTGCTACAAAGTGGACACTAGGATGGATAATATATAACATTCAAGCTCACCTAAATCCAAGATGGTGTCTTGTTATCGATCGAGATGCACGTGCTGCGTTTTGGAAACAAACTTAACGAGGAAGTTTGCCGCAGATTTATCTTTGCAAATCTTTTTAATTCACTATATCTTTTGGTAAGGTCATGATGAACTTTACCTAGTAGCCAATTTGACGACTAATTTTCAGGATTTGGTCGCCAAAGTGAAAAATTTAGTCGCATTGGCGCCCGTATTAGGCGCAATTTCACACCCTGCCTAGTCACTCTTGGGGGTCAAAGGATTAAAGGATTAAACCAACACTTACTGCAGCAGAAGTATTGCTTTCCTCTGTTGTGACAGGACTTGCTGTTTGTCTTGTACGGCTCATAATTTGTTCTACTCGCTGAAATAGAGAAAACACATTTAAGCTTCAGTTGTGCATAAGAATTACATCAGCCAAAGTCGACATTAATCACCAAGGACTATGAATTAAACAAGATTTATATCACTTGAAGTACTAAACATTATATCAAGGGCCATACTGCCTTGCGGGCACTTTTATCCGAAAAAACAAAAAACAATTATAATAACAATAATAATAATAATAATAATAATACAAAAAAACTGGTATATGGTTCATACACAATGTGTTAAGCACAGCCAAAAAAAGCTGCAAGGTCCTTTATGCTGTCCTACAAGATGAAGAGAATGTAAGGGCATGAAAAATGGACCTATCGTGATGGGTCATGACCTCAAGCAAACATGTACATTCCAGCCTTCACACTCAGTCAGTCACTGTGTAGTGTGAGGTATGTTTCTCTTGCAATAGCAATTAAAAAATGTGCAGAGTTATTCCATAAGAATGATTTTAAGAACAAAAATGGTACAAATTCAACATTTGTCTAAAAATGCACTTCACAATATATTTGTTCATCAGAAAAAACAATTAAACATAAGGATGAAACCTTTGTCTGGTGTGAAACACTATCAGTTGGTTATTTTCAGGCACAGTCAATAAATCAAACTGGTACCACTGCTGTGCAAGCCCAGCATTTCCAGATCATAACCACAATACCATTAGAAATATTATTGTACTCTTTCAAACTTGCAATTACAAATGAAACAGTGCATGTAATCAGCTTGTGGCCAAAAGTGATACATACAGAACGACATGTCAGTCTTCTTTAACTTGAAAATACAGAGCATGCAAAACAGCATGTACAAAATTTAACAAATTGACTCTCTAAAATTTACTGAATTTACTCACATGCCTCAATTTTCAATTTATATGATCACCTCTTACCCTTTTCCTCTCCAGTCTTGCAGCCTCCTCCTTTTTTCGTCTTTCTTCTTCTTCTTGTGCTTTCCTTTCTTCCTCTTCTTTTGCTTTCTGCTCCTCTTCTTCTTTACGTTTTTTCTCAGCAGCAGCCCTTTCTGCTTCTTCTTGATCATGCTTCTCTTTCTCCTCTGCTGCTATCCGCAGTCTCTCTTCTTCCTGCTTGCGTAAAAGCTCAGCTAATTCACGCATCCTTGCTTCTTCTTTGGCTTCTTCCTCTGCTCTTTTCCTGTCTTCTTCTTCTTTTCTCAGCCTCTCTGCTTCCTGTCGCTCTTTATCCAGAGCAGCTTGTCTTTCTGCTTCTTCTCTTGCCTTCTTTCTCCTCTCTGCCAAAGCCTGTTTAGCAGTTGCTTCATCTGTGATACCAGCTTTAGGCTTTGTTTCAGTCTTTTGGCTTTTCTCAGAAGTAGTTTTATTTGCACCAACCCTGTGAATAGAACTAGTAGAGTGAGATTTGGTGAGCTTTCCTCCTGGCAACAGTGATTCCTGACTTTTATTGTTTTTAGCATTCTGCTTATCTAGTGTCAAGACTGAAGAATGTGTTGATGTTGACCGTGTCCTGGGCTTTGTGCCAGATGATGGCCTTTGAGGTAAAGAGCCACTGCTACCCCTTCGATTCTCTACAGATGCATTGTTCAAATTACTTGCCGACACAGACTTACTGACCCCCAGAGGCTTTTTTGGTTGCAAACCACTAGGGGTGGTGGCAGGAGATTCTTTAGGTGTTGAACCACTAGATAAGCTGTCAGCGCTGGTACTATTACGAGAAGGACTCTTAGCAGTTACAGCACTTGAGGGTCTCGCCAATGGCTTCGGTAAAGAGGATGGGCGCTCTACAGCACTGCCTGGTCGCTTAGCACTACCTTCTTGAGGTAAAGTTGGCAGTTTTCTACCAGTGCCTGGTTTTAGAGGTGCTGAATTAGTCTTTTGTTTGGCTGCTTGGTCCTTCATCGTAGTCCATCTTTCCTTCTCGTCCTCCTCCTTTTTCCGCCTTCTTTCTTCAAACGCCGCTCTCCGTTCCTCGTTCTTTCTCCGCCTCTCTTCGGCCTGTTTTTCTCGGAGGAGCTTGACCTTTTCCTGTCTCTCATCCAAAGGAGGAGGATCTCTACCTACCTGTAAACTTAAATTTTCAGTTGACACAGATCGCTTCGCTGAGTTTGCTCTGCTTGCGCTTGTTGACCTTGATAGCGCCGATGTTGAGTTTGAAGTGGGGGGATTTGATGAGTTAGCAGTAGCTTTGCGTGGATGCCTGTCTGTTGATTTACTGGCAGATCCCGGCGATCCGGCTGCTAAATAGAAATTAACAGCATATCATTTTAATCTTCGCAAAGAGTATCTTTCATATATATCAAAAACACAAGAATTCCGTACCTTTTTTCGCTCGAAATGCCTCGATGGACAACGCATCTTGATTTGATTCAGCCATTGAGGTTACTACGTTGTGAGGTGTGCCTATCCAATACAAATTCCTTGAGAGTTAACTGGTGCCTTCAGCAACAACTGATTGGTAAATAATTGATAGGAAAACAAAGTTTGAAAGCATCGAGTACATATCAGCCAGACACTACGTCTGTTAACACGAGTCCATGTGTTCAAAGTTCTCCAAAAACAAAATCCATTATATTGATAGATTACTTTTGTATTTTTTACGTAAGACTTAAAATTCGGTCCTTAACAAACCAATCACAGTAAGGAATTTCAGACACGTGGTTTTCTGTGATACCGCTGAAAGTTCTTTCTGTCGGCTCGTGATCATTGACGCCATTTTGTTAGTTGTCTACATGTGGAGGCTCTGTCAGGAGTTATGAAGGTTTGATTTCGTCAAACGTGACATCTAAGTAGAAAATTATGGAGAATCTCTTAGAGCAGCAAAGGAGACTTCACGAGGAAAGGGAAAGATTGGAAAATGCCATGGCAGATGAAGTTTTGCACAAGAAACAATTGGTAAAAAGTCGCCTACAATTACTTGTTTACCATAACCGTGCTTTGATTTGCTTACGGTTGAAAACAATTTCTCTTTACTATGCAAGGATTATAAGTTTTGTAGGGGAAATGATTGGTAACTCAAGGAATAGCCCTGAGTAAAGTTATTTAACTTAGCTTCACAGTGCTTCTGCGCTATCCTATACGATGCTTGGAACACTACATCTAGTTGCCCTGCAGAGCTTGTAATTGATTCTGAATTGATTTGTTCCCCTCAGAGATACAAATAAGGAATTACGGTGAACTGCCAGCATTAATCCTAGGGTTTGTGTTTTGCGGGTATCCTGAGAGGAAAATGTTTCAAAACAAAACAAAACGATTCTAACACGCTTGTACACCCTAAAAATATATAACTTTTTTATCTTTGCAGGGAAAAGAACAGATTAATTCTGATCATCAAGTGAAGATTTTATTGGAGGTAAATGAGAGTTTTTCTACAGTGTAACAGCTGAACTTGTTGGATCATAGCTTAGTTGTCAAACCTCGATTATCTGTTGCTCAATTTTCCTGAATTGCTTCTCTGGTCCCATTTTTCTAGGAATATTAATTAGTCACATTTGAGATAACAAAATTTTCCCAGGTCGGCATTTGTTTTGCGTCAGCATCTTAGAGTGTTAGGTCAGTGCTTTAATGCACTTTTTTAACAACACAGATTTTCAAAAATAGCACGAATTTCCAAGCTTGTCTTTTCTCAAAATTCTGGTTTGAGGGTTTTGTTTCATTTTGCATATTTACATGTAGATCATGCCTTTTATAAGAACAAAGCACTTAATTATTATTTTTTAACAGTTTTTTTTAACTAAAATTTTTGTTGTTGTTTGACATTTACCTTGATTTTCACTTGTATGTCTTCTCTGGTTCAATGGTTGGATAACTCATTCATCCAGTTAATAATTATTATTGTTATTTAGCAGCTAAGCTTTACAAAACTAGCTTATAACATGATACATGAATATATTTGACTTTTATGATCAAAGAGAGGAAAAAATCTATTCCAAAATCTCAATGTGTGGGACAAGTTAGCATAGCGCAGTTTGAAAACATCAAGTGCATTTGATATTGTATCTTGCAAGAGGATTGTCCAGCCTTCTTCGCGGTAGATACAGGGGTAGTTGTATGTTTTCAGATGATAATTTGGATTGTGATTGTGATTGTAATTATGTCCAATATTCTCATGAATCTGTTTTACAACTTTGCAGCTTGCCGATAAGGATAATTTCTTCACTTGTTCAAATGCCCCCCTTATATTGATTCCCTTTTTTTTCATGTACAAAGCGATCAGCTTTAAATGCAGAGACACTTTCAAGCCTTTATGAGGATAAGGATGGGTGAGTTAATTCCAATGCAGAGTGACATTGTTTCAAATCTGTGATATTGTAATTTTGTCCAGGAAATACTTATTATGTTTACATTAAACTTGAGACACCTTTGATTTGTAGTTTACGCAAAGAAGAAGTTTCAGCTTTGTCTGGACCTAATGAGTTTGCAGAGTTTTATGCCCGTCTCAGGAGTCTAAAGGAATATCACAGAAAATTCCCAAATGAGGTAAACTTCAATAAAGTTTACCTGATGTGCATGTGTAGAGTCAATTCTTGAAACCAGAGATTACTCTGGGACCACATTAATTTCTGTCAAGAGAGTGCAATCATGAGTACTGCTGCTGCGTACATGTAATTCCTTTTTGAAAAACTACATGTCAATAAATTCTACTGTTCTCAAATCAAAGAAGTGAAGAAAGATCCAAGCGTCAAAATACTCAAACTGGACACAGCAGGTTCAATTCATTCAAATAATGTTTCTTCTCTAACACTTGAGAAACAGACAATGTGTTAGAGATGATTTTTTTTCAGGAGTACATTAGCAGTATCTTAGTCTGCAATTTCAAGTATTTTTTTTTATTTCAACTACAGTTCAATTATGGTAACTGCAACATTTCTCTGTCAATTGTCATATTTTTTTCTCCAGGTTGCAGAACCAATGCAGATGGAATTTTTAAAGCTCAAGGAGGCACGTGATAATCCAACAGATGAAATGCAAAGTGAGTGTTACTAATGATGAATGTGACTTGTGTTCTGCTAATTTAGAATTTAATAAAGTAATCTAAATTGTAAGATAGGTTTTAAATTACATGTTTTTAACAGCAGTGATCAGCTATGGCCAAATCTGTTTTATTATCATGCTTATTTTGGTTCTTTAAATTACTATTTTTCTCTATCCAGATGTTGTAGAGTTTACAGATGAAGAAGGATATGGAAAATACTTGGACCTGCATGAACTGTATGACAAGTTTCTAAACTTGAGAGGAGTAGAGGTGGGCTTGTGATTCAATTCGAGAGCATAGAGTCAGTTACCACTGTATACATCTTGAATATGCATTTTGCATCAAGAGTCTTTTTTGCACACTTATGTTTTGTCCACATCTGTTAAAGACATTTTAATGCTACTCTTTGGCACTCTACAGCGCATCGATTACCTAACCTACCTAGAAACATTTGACAGACTTTTTGATATTGCAAAAGAAAAGAAAAACCCAGAGTATAGAAGGTAAGTTGATCATTTGAATCTTTGATGTATGAATCTGGTTCTAAGAATGTTTACACATTGTGGATTTGATGTTTGGAGACCCTCTCTCCACTTAGATTTGGTTTTTTAGTGGTCTAAGTTAAACTTCTTTGTTGAGTTTTAAGCCTTTGACTCTCACAAGTGACTAGCATCTAATTTCTCCTTACAATATTGCCCTAGAATCATATATTAAGGTCATGAGAATAAAGTAAATGATAATCAACCAAAGAAGCTTTTTATTATTAAACAAATTCTCCTTGTCAGCTCCTTAGGAAATGTTCAGAGAACAGTATGGAGAATATTCATTCTGATGTTAGGCTGTGGAGGGTTAAATAGAGCCAACTGATTAGCCCTAGCCTGTTAGGATTATGATAACCTTAAATGTTTGACTTTCTTGATTTCTTTTTCATTTACACCCCATACTGACTGTTAACAAGACTGAAAAGTGTAGCCTTTAGAAACAAACACAATTACCATTAATTGCGTAGTGAGAAGACAAGAAAATCAATTTCGAACCATATCCACTTTATGTTTAGGACATATCAATGGGTTCAGATCCAATGAAGTATTGTGAGGAGCAAGGCGGGTAGAAAACAAGTAGTGTTGAGTTTGACCACCTTCCAGAAGATATTCGTTTGTTTTAGTGTTTCGTCCAACCACTGACATATTCAAGAAAACTTTGTTATTCAAAGCGTATGGCTGAAGAATCACAGGAACCACTTCCCAACCTATGAAAATCTCCCTCATAAGATTTTTATTTAAGTTTTTGGGTTTGCTTCTATCACAAGTAGACATGTGAATGATCTATGAAAATAATTGCTGGTGATGCAAATGACACTGATGACAGTTATAGAGGTGGTTCCATTAAGACACCTTCTGTACATTCCTGGAAGTTATTTTGTGATTTTAATTTAGGTGTATGATTTTTGGTCTCTTAGGTATATTGAAGCTCTCCTGGACTATCTGTATGATTATACACATAGGGTTTTACCTTTATATGACCTGGAAGGGGTAGGTTCTTAGTCAGTCTTTTTGTATAGGTTAATTAATAATAATTGCAAACTTATGTCTTTATGAGTTAAAATTTGTTAAAAAGAAGTCCTATGATGTAATTTAACCAAGTGCAATCCTAATGAAATTATTTGAGAGACTGAATATTATACCTAGCCAATTGCAATGCTGTGCTTGTAATAATTATCTTCTGCATGAAAATGTGTTGTGGGCCTTTCCCCTTCTCCTTCTCCTTCCCCACCTTCTTTTTTTTTTTTGGGGGGGGGGGGGAAGGGGAGGTTTGGCCAAAGTCTCTTGCTTGGCTGCCTGAATACAAACACAGTCTTTTTGCGATCCTTCAATTTGTCTGGTAATTCACATTTTGATCTTCTCTAGGAACTGGAGAAAGTTATGTCAGCATTTGAAGAACAATGGTCAAAAGGAACCTTTCCAGGATGGATGGTAAGAATAAAGGACCTACATTACACAATTTTAATATTTCCATGAGTGGGATTTATGGAACATATACAATTTGTGAGCAAGGCTTCTCTTATCCAACAACTCACTCCATTAAACTCTCACCATTTGGCCAAAACTGATTCCATTTCAAATTCCTATTTGTGATTTCCTCAACAAAAAATTTACTACATACTGTACATTTGGATTGCAATGATACACAATCATGTGATTATCACAAACAGTGAGTTTTGTTTTTTATCATTTGCAGAAAGATGCAAGCAGTGCCTTAGCTCATTCTGGAGCCCATCTTGACTTGTCTGCCTTTTCATCTCCAGAGGTACATGTATGGTTATCAAAGTTGAAAACAAAATCGAGTCATAACTCTTAAAGGAAAAATGTCTCAAGTGTGGGAATAAGAAATTACACTGAGTTCCCTAGAGGAATTGAACCTCAGACCATTGAATTTAATGCTCCCACTGACTATCATTGAGCCACTGAGACTCTACAGTGAGCCACATAGGCCATTTTAAATCTTTTTTTGACCAGGGTACAGTGAGAGTATGTTCAGTTTCTGATGGACCTCAAATCCATCTCTTCTTTCAGAAATGCATTTTGACATTCAGAAATACATTCTGAATGTCAGAGCAAGGGGGAGTGAACAGTGGCCTAGGCAAGTGTCGCTGAACAGGTCCAACAAAGTGTAAAGAATTTTACATGTAGGAAGTTTGGGGAATCACCAGACTGTCAATAGTGTGGTAGAAAGTCTAATAACTGTAAGTTACTGTTACTTATCAAAATGTATTTATATCAATTCAAAAAGGAACTGGCTTCCTTGGGACTGGATCGACTGAAACAAGCTTTGCAAGCTTTAGGCTTGAAATGTGGAGGGTAAGTATTGCTAACTGGTCACACTATGTTATACTTGATGTCATTAGCAGGGAAAAGTAGTCCAGCTTTCTTTCTCTGTGCCATTGGTCTAGAAAACTCTTTTTACCCAATTGACTAGTAATATACAAGACTTTAATAAACTGTGCCTGGTCACCTTCACTGTCTTGGGCTAGAGTTTGGTTACTTGTGCAATATTACAGTTTGAATTCTGTTTGGCTCCTTGTGATGTACATGTAGTCTAAATTGAAACAATTCATTTGTTTATTATTATTATTATTATTATTATTATTATTATTATTATTATTA